CCCAAACTGAATTATAAAATCATTGTGAAAATTGGATTTGAGTCAAGGCACACTAATAGGAAACAATTAAACATGATTGAACTTAATTCGTTTTAGGAATGAGAAATACTTCCTAAGATATTGCATTTGTGATGAAGCTAGTGGAGAAGTCAAGCATTAAGGCTTTAAGGAAAGCGGAGGCTAGGAGAACTGAAGGCTAGCCCAGGTTTGATATCCAACAGGTAGGATATTCTTGTCTATATCCTTGTTAGCCTCATTTTAAATTATTTTGGCCAATGAAAATGTTTTAGAACAAAACATGTTTAAAGAAAATGATTTTAAAGAAATAACATGAGAATGCTATTAAGTTTTTCCAATGATTTTGGAAATGAGATTTCAAAGCGTATCAATTCTTAAAATGAAATATTTTAAGAAATGATACAATGCATGGTGGCCTTAGAGATCGGGATGTGGGAATCGCATCCTTGGGGGGCAGGTCCCGAAATCCGTACGGATCTGCTTCTTGTTTAGTGGAATGATGGCTCTGTACTTTTCCTAGACAGACATTTTTACCGCTTCTTGTTTAGTGGTATGATGAGCTGCACACTTTCATTATACAGATATTTCTATTGTGAGTATTTCCTTTTCTAAAAAGGGATGATCGGTTCTGGATGTATATCTTCGGACCGTGAGTACCTTTATTTTAAATGCTTTATAAAATCTATATCCTACTGGGCCTTTCGCTCACATTTTTCTGTTTTTAAATGTATTAAACCCCTCCAGGCGACGCGAGGAGTGGTGCGGAATAGGTAGCTATTACCGGTGGTGTGGACTTGATCTCGGGAAGCAAAGAGTTGTAACCCTCCTATCTTTTATTTCAAGGCATGTATAAGAGATTATGGTTTGTAAACTTAAATGTTGCTAGATTGTGGTTGATGTCACATTTACTTATGTTTATATTCATGTATGCTAAACCCCTGTGGGAATTCCTGACATGATACCAGTGATGTGGTTTTAAAACTGGTTTGGTTGAAAATTCCACCACCGTTCTTGAAATTAAATTTCTCTTGAATGCAGGGGCTCGTTTGGAAATACCTGAATGTTTTAGATTTGAAAGGAATTAAATTATTTTGTTAATCACTCTCTCAAACAGGTTTAAGTTTTTAAACGAGCCTCCACGTCACCAACCCCGGTTTAGGGGCGTGACAATCTCTTCTTGAGTTGATCCGGAATTATCCTTATCAATGAATTGAGGGCTGAAATTTAATGAACTATATCCTTATCTTCTCTCTCTCTATATATAGATATATATATATATATATATATATATATCGTGTTATCTAGTAATTTATATAAACCTGTCATTTAGGAATGGTCTGGATCTCCACGAATCCTTGAAATGATGTTGTGCAATCAAGGATAAAACATGGTTTGATCATAGATTCAACAAATAAACACACAAAAAAATAATAATAATAATAAAATAAACTTGCGATTCAATAAAAAAAATCATAGTGATTATACTTTTCTATTCACAAATTTGTTGGTAGAATTAAGGATAAAATCATAATTCATATTTATTATTAAGATTAAGAGTGTTAATCCGGTGGGGGTAGAGAAAGTGTCAATCTTATTCATCAATTCTAAATTAGTGTGTGACCTACACATTCTTACTCTCATTTTAAAATAAAAATGTATAAATAAATATGAAGTTGATATTGATTCTCAATTCTCATTCTCCACTTCTGATAAATAAACGTGCCATTAAAGGAAATAATTCTTTGGGACAAAGAACAAGAAGCCTTCGGAGTTGACTTAGCTCAAATATTCGATAAGTTGGAGTATCGCTCGGTCACCAATTTACACTTGTGAATCAGACGATGTCCTTCCATAATCATGCGTTCCATAATGATCTTTTTTTTTTTTTTTTTTTTTTTTTTGAAAGTGTGCTTTCAAGAGCCGTTTAAATTTCTATAAAAGAGATACATAGAATTCGGATTAAAACTCTATTACAAAAATTCATAATTCTCTATGCCTCTCTCCCAAATACACTGTGTTCTTATTTTCTTTATATGAGTTTTCAGTTTTGCTTACTACAAATTCACCAAGGCCTTTCATGTTCTGAAAGCAATTTGTTGTTGAAGTCGAAGCAATAGAGAGGGGCAAATAACGCTTTTTAAGGAAAGTGTATATCATGTGTCTTTCAAGTCTATGTGCACCGAATAATTATAATTATTTTCTTTAATTATTTCTCTATTAAAACATAAATAAGTATGCAAATGATTCAAATTATAATTTGGGTTGAACTTAAAAATACATTTCAGTGAGAATAATAAAAATAGCAAGTATTAAACTAAAATCATGCAAGCAAAAAGGTAAAAAGTAATTTATACAAGTAAGGAGTTGAAGAAAAAAAATAATATGTAATGAGAACCAATAAAAATACGATATGTAAAAAGGAACAAAAACAAAAGAACAAGCAAGTATAGAGTAAAAACATGCAAGCAAAAAGTTGAAGAACAACTTATATATAATCATGCAAGCAAGGAGTTGAAAAACAAAAAATAAAACACTCATCAACATAATTGGAGAAAAAATATTTTGAAGGGCAAATTATTAGGAAAAAGAATTTTATAAGCAACATTGAAATAAAAATAAAAAACAAAAAATAAAACACCCATGAACATAATTGAAAAAATATATATTTAAAAGGGAATATTTTAGAAAAACGAATTTTATAAGCAAAATTAAAATAAAATTGAAAAAAAAAAAGTAAGAGAGAAAGATATTGATATTAAAAAAAGGGAGAAAGAGGGAAATAGGCCAAGAGTTGAGATGAATTAAAATTAATAGGCCAATAGTTTACATAAGTTAATAAATATGTTAAATTATTATTTTCGTCAATAACTTGTCTGGTTATGAACCATAACTTGACAAGTTATTGTCCATAATTGTCCATAACTTGTCTGGCTATGAACCATAACTTAACAAGTTTGTCCATAACTTATCTGGTTATGAACCATAACTTGACAAATTATGGCCTATTAATTTTTATAACTAAAAATTTGCCTATATACTTTCTTAAGCTTTTTATATTGGCCTATTTTCTACTATTTCTCTTAAAAAAAGAAGCAAAGTAAAAAAAAAAAAAAAAAAAAAAGACAAAAGCTAAGAGGCACACAGTTGAAGTACTAATTTCTCATGAATCACAATACAATCCTAATCGTATTTTGTGCCAAATCTTTTTGGTATTTCATTTTTTAAAAATTGTGTTGAGATTTCTAACCACGCTATATAATGTTTTTCTGTAAAACTTTTTGTTAATGTATGTTTTAAAAATGTTTGTCATACCCTACAAGTTAAAAAGAAATATTAAGTTCTAAAACATATGTATATTTTTCATAAGTTTTCTTCCTGGTATTGCCCTTTTTTTTTTCCTTGAAATTCGTTATATCTGGAGTCTTGATAATTCCTCCCATGTTGATATTTTGTCCTTTAACTAGAGAAAATAAAGAGAGAAAGTAAACGGAGAGAGAGAGAGAGGAAGAGAGAGAGAGAGAGAATGAGACGAGGGAAAGCTAAGATAAAATCAAGATATGGGAAGTTGAAACAAGCAACTCATTAGTATATAGAAAATGAGGAGAAAGAAAAATGAAACGAGTAATTAAAGGGAGAGAAAAAAAATCAAGAAAGAAACGAAAGTGAGAATAACAAGAGATATAATAAGAAAAAGAAAAAAATTTGGAGAATTTGATAGGGAAGAAAAAAGACAAAAATATTTCTGTAAAACATTTACTAAATACCCTATTTCTTTTACCACCAGGAACATTTTTTGTTCTTATTTTTAAAAATAATTACAAAATTAGGACGTAGATAACATGAACAAACAAGTTTGTAGAAAATTCACTTTTTTAAAAAAAGGAGTTAATAACTCTGTTACTCCCAACATATTAAGCATATTGACATTTTGATCCTTAAAATTTAATTTAAACATATTAAGTCCCTAAATTTTCATTTTTTGACAGTTTTAGTATCTTACAGTAAAATTTAAAAAAAGTTTACATATATAGTTACAGTATCTGCAAAATATCATAATTTTTAATAGGTTTTAGTAGTAATAATAATGATAAAATTTTGTATATACATAATTCTTTTTTTAAAATTTTAAATTGTCACCTGTTGACGGTGTAATTTCGTCAACAAGACCTTACCGGATTACCCCACGGTAGCCCGTTGGGTTACCGGTTTGGAACTTATAATTTTATTGAATATGCTGGAATTTATATTTAGGGTTTAGAATAGGTTATGAAGTAAGTGAGATAATGCTTATAAAAGTAAGAACACATATGAATTTTATAGTGGTTCACCCTTCTCAATAAAAGCTACATCCACTGTATTGTATTTCTCTTGTCTTTGTTCTTACAAGTTACATATACATCAGGAAAAAAACCTTTTTCTCTCTCGGGGGCTCTTCCCCTTTTATAGTGGATATTGCATGAGTCTCTGCCCAATGGTAGTCGGTTTGGACCATTTGACCGTGTCTTTCATGGGGTCCGCCCACTCGAGTGGCCTATGGCCTCTTTTGTTCATACCGTAGCCTGCCATTACCTTTTGGACTATTCACTCATCCAATTTGTCCCCCCATTACGGCTCTGTAGATCCCTTGTAGTAGCTAGTGATCTGTTCCAGGCGGTTTTAGGGGCTTGTAATCATTTCATGTGCAACTGACCTTCTCCAAACCTAGACGTAACCTTGGGATATTCAGATGATCTTCCCAGGGGTCTTCCTTGGGATATGGATCCAGTTGCTTGAGCTTTACTGTCTGTGCTTATGTTAACATCTGCCGAGGGTAGCCTCTCTCACGGCTGACTTTATCGTGTTATTTTGCCCGGGCTGGTCTCGCAGACCTCGACTGTTTATAGGGTTAACGGTCTCAGTCTCATACATTCAGCTCTTTCGCCATACAGGAGAGACCAATGAGGCTCAGGCGTCGAGGGCTACATGGCGTGGCAGGCATAGGGCCACGTGTGGCCTGATCGTTGTCCGACGTGTCGATGTGAATTTTCCCGCACAACAGTTGCCCCCCAGGTCGAGGCTTTTCTTCGGACTGCCTCGAGCTAGGTCTAGGGTTTGCTCTGGTTCTCCTTTTGTTTGCTTCAGGCGTGGGAGCCTAACTCTGAACCTTTTTTCGCAATGATGGCCCTGGTGCTTCGGAACCCCTCGAGAAGCGCAAACGTCGCGTCTGTTCAATCGCCACGCTGACATGGCTTTTCGTTTGAATGGATGAACCTGGGCCACTGGATCATGACCTCTTAGCTTCCCACCCTTCCCCAGTCGTTGGATCAAACTCTTGTGCTCCCATCGTTAGATGCAAACGTATCTGATCGGACGGCTGGGGGTCGAGGCCCTTAGGTTAATATAAAGGGTCTCTTCATGTTTGAATCACTTTGAAAACATCTTGAAGCAGTCGAAACTCTGCCAAAATTTCTCTAGGATCATTCCCTTCTTACTATTTCACGGATCTCCAGCGACATTCTTCTCAAGAGCTCGTGTAACTTTCTTGCTCCTGATTCCCTGGTAAGCATCTTTTCAAACTCCATTTCCACCTATTTTGTTTATCGCGTCTGGAATATGGTGGATTATTTCTTAAGTGATGGGAATAGTTGGGAATGGCATGATAGGAGAGGTTGGCACTTGAACTTGATATTATCCGCCATGTCTTGGACTAGCCGTAGGAGTTTTGAGTGATTCTGGGTTTCTTGTTTGGCCTTCTGGGTTAGTTTGAATGGTCGTCGCTTCGTTTGAATAGTCTCCGGTCCAGTTCATGCCTAGGCTCGAACCATCGTAGCTTTAACTCCAATTTTAACCGACGAAACGTC